AGCCTCTTTATAATAATAAACTGCAGCTTTCATTTGACCTTTGCAGTCATGGTCTACCGCTGTATTGGATGCTACAATGGCTTTTTCGGCATATTCCATTTTACTTGAATTTCTATATTATAATATGCCTAAGAGTTGTACTAATTTAAATTATACTAATGGGGCTTAGGTTTATGGCCGTCAACATAAAAATTCCTGGTGGCTGCAGGCAACACAAGTTCGATGCCGTCCAAACACTTGGTCAGAATAATTTGACAACCCAGTCGCGAGTTTTCCTTTAGAAATGGCGCTAGATCTAGTAAATCGTCCTCTTTCTCCTCTGATTCGGGAAGCTTGGACAGATAATCGTCGGCGACATAACAATGACAGGTTGTGCACGCTAATGACGCTTCACAAGCACCTTCCATTTCGACTCCATGTCTGAAAAAAACCGAAAGTTATATTACTCTCTCACAGCAATGATCGTCGAAGCCGACACGACATTTTTAATTTAATATTGCTTACCTGTGGGCCAGATACAGAACGTTGTCACCGACTTTTCCCCTGACTTCTGTGCGCTTGCCGTCCCTGTCTACAAACGCCACTTGGACGACGTCAGCTTCGTTTTTCGGATCCTGCCATTCGTATTCGCCGTGCCACAGACTCGGGGTGGTGGACACGAACCTCTTCCGCACGGATGGGACTCCGGACCTGGTCAAACAGACACGACTCGACGGAAGGGTGAGGTGACGGCGTCGATTGCAGAACACACCACGCACTAGTTTTGCCACAGTGACGGGCAAAAACATGCTATATCGTATACTACGCGAATGAACTTCTTGTACTCGCGACGGTAATAACAGCACATGCTAGACGGACAAAGTTCGACGCCGGGTGGTAAGTCGAAACCGTAAGTGCATTGTGCAAAGTGCATACAGTGCAGTGTGCACTAGTCAATTTGTTTTTGATAACTCTGCGGCTGCGCATCGGCGATACGAAACGTGAACCGTGAACGGCTGCAAATACTCGTAACCGTCTAACCGTGATGACGTCATATGAGGGTAAGCTGGATACACAGATATTGTGATATAGATATCTGTGGCCGAATATCATAATGAATAAAGATAATGATAATTATAACAAAAAATAATAATGACAAACTATAAAAAAATTTGCATAATTCCCCTGGTAGCTTGTACGTAGGTGGTTAATCGATAAACCTTTATGAGTCATCGAGTTGTACACTCGAATACTCGATAATAAGTTGTAGATTAGACCATGAAAGTTCGCATCTACTTGAGAGAGTCCGAGACTCGAGTAGTTATGAATACTGAGTAGTGAGTTATTCTCTGTCTTAACTCTAGGTATAAATGTATAATGTATAATTTAAATTTGGTCAGAAACGCTTTCGAAATAAAAAATGTTTTTTGTTCAAATTGTTCAGCGTTCGAAGAATCCAGAGTTGATTGTTAGCTATCGTCAGTGTGTTTATACTGTAGCTGTGGTACTTTTCACTAAGACCAAAGGTAAATGGGCAATAAGACGCAGATGAAAATTAGTGGTGCCAAAGAACATCCTGCCACCACAAAAATCTGTGACCCTATTATACGAATAATATGAGAAATTGAGAAATGATAATATGAGATGTTGGGTTGATTGTGGATGGATGAAGGCAATCGGGCATTTCATTTCATGAAGTGATGGAGGAAATTAATTTTTAATAATTTAATAATTTAAAATATTTTTCAACTGCTATTGTAATAATATATCGGAGCCTTGCATTAAATGTTCACCCTTTTTTACCCCACAAATAAAATTTTATTTATATTTATAGAAAAAAAAAACTAAAAAAATTGAAAACTGACAATGTCAGTAAACAGCTCAAAAAGTGTCAAAATATTTTCAAAATCTTATGGTGAATACAAAATAAAAATATAAACATTCAGTAAAATGTTCATTCATCAAACCAAAATCGATTTTGTGAAAAACTTTTTTGCTTAAAAATTCCATAATATAAAATTCCATTTTCCATAATTTGTATCTAGTTTTTCCCGGCGCTTTTGAAAACTATTGCGGATTTTAAAATTTGACTTCCCCAATGCACCAACAATATTCACTTTTCCATCGAACAAGTTACTGAAGTTGAAATCGAAGCATTATTTCGACTACTTATCGTGTACACGGACACAAAAATAAAAACAACACACATCATTGTAAAATCAATACATTCATCTTTCCACTTAGAATCTAAAAATATCGGAGTATATTTACGATATTTTCTACCGTGCCATCGACCGTCGGTTTTACCTCTGCTATGAGCGCGTCTACATTTAATTACATTCGTTTAATTCATCTTCAATGGTGGGCAAGTTAAGTTAATTCAATTAAATTGCCTTCAGTTAAGTTAAAAGTTAACAAAGAAAAGAAATTTAACTAGATAAGTTTAAAGTTAAGATAGAAAGTAAAATTCACTTATCTCAGTTAAAAAAAGGTTAATTTTTTGAAGATACAATATTATTAAGGGGATTGGAAGCGACGATTTTCTGTCTTTATCTAACACACGTGCAACATAGGATTATAGACGTGTTCTATTTCCAACGTACCGATTAATCTAATGAAGCGATAAGAATTCTGAAAAAAGATTTGAATTTGTCGTTAAGTTTACTTGAGATCGACTTTCCCACATTTTTGATATTGTCCCACCAAAATCATAAAAAGGATATATTAAAAATAGTAATTAAAAAATTTACATATTTCAACTTTTGGAGAAGTTTAAATCAAAAAATCAAAAATGTGGGAAAGTCGATCTCAAGTAGACTTGACGACAAATTCAAATCTGTTTTCAGAATTCTTATCGCTTCATTAGATTAATTGGTACGTTGGAAATAGAACACGTCTATAATCCTATGTTGCATGTGTGTTAGATAAAGACTGCAGAAAATCGTCGCTTCCAATCCCAAAGTACCATAGTATTTTATAACACACAAACATTTACTAAGACTTTTAACACTGTGTAAAAAATTAGATTATTATAATGTAAAATTCGAAAATAAATTACCAAAATCGTTAAAAAGTCGACGAATCAGTATTGCCTAGTTGATTACGCATGACTCGAAAAGAAAAATTAACTAAATTGCACGACAATGATAATTAACTATAAAAAGTTAAGGTACAACGATAACAATTTGAACTGAATAAGTTAATAAGTTACAAACAAAAATAATTAACTATAGTTAAGTTAAAAAATTAAAAAAAAATTAACTTTTTAACTTAACCTTAACTTTTTAACAAGTTAATGCCTTTGTTCATCTTAGTCGGTGGCTTAGTTTTAAACTTTACCACATAAATAGATTATCAGCGCGCCTACAGTTCACCGATGCGATAATATCGTACCGATGTGGTTTGCCTCATGGCTCATATAAAACTGTATGAGCTAAATTTAATCCTTACCTACCGTATAGTTACGGTACCGTCTATCGCAGGAAGTGTGTGCGGACCTTTACTTTTTCTTAACCGGAAACTATGCATAAAAACATCAGTTTAAACTTTAAAACAAACATCATAAATGGCTCATAGTTAAATAGGCTTACGTACTATCTAAAAATTGTACGTATCTAAAAAGTAGGAAGTCTCGATTTTTCCAAAATATCTATACAGTAATACCGTCATTCAAATTCAACATTTAACCTAATGGAGTGACTAGTGCTATATTTTGATAGGTAGGTACATAGGTACTACATACCTATCGGGAGTATATACGTATACACTATACACTATAGGTACACTAAACAGTGTATAAGTATAGTCAGTGCCGCATTTAGATAATATATGTTACGCCCCGGCACAAAAAAAAATTGGCACCCCCTAAGCCCCAGTGAAAAAAATTGCTCCCCCCTAAGGGCACCCACGGAAAATATGGGAAATAGATCCTCATTAACCTTTTAGATTTTGAGCACAGAAAAGAATATTTGTCTTACAATGTGTGCTTTTTTTAAAAATATTGATTAGTAATAAATTGCTTGATCCTCTCTCCGCAAAGATACATTTGAATATATAATATATGTCACATAAACCTTGCTTATAATTCATCAAATAAGTTGTTTTTTTTTAACATATTTAAGTAGGTTGTAGGTACTTCATGAATAAATAAAATAAAATTATATAAAACTATGCAAATTAATATTAATTAAAAAAATGTCAAACAGTATAATAATACTATATAATATGTATATAATACTATTATACTAAATTATATTATATAATACTGTTATTAAAATAATTAAAATTATAAAATTTTAATAATCCACATGTAAACAAATTTCTGACCACAAAATATTGGCACCCCTAAAATACTGGGTCCCGTGGAAGTTGTACCCAGCGCCCCCCTAAATGCGGCCCTAACTCCTAAGTATAGTGTATACTATTCAACTATTGTCTATTAATAAATAATAATTATTATTTATATAATATATTAATATCTATAGTATGATACCTTCTACGATCTACCTAATGACAATTAATTTGAATTTTCTAATTTCTCACTTCAACTTATTGTACAGATTGACGATTGTTGAATTTTTCTAAACTAACAAATTTGAAATTTTAATATTATTTTAAATCATTTTATTTTTTTTAAATATTTTATTTAATACTATATGTTCTAAAATATCTTTGATATTATAATATTATTATTTAGATATAATTAATTGAGGTATTATTTATTCGAACAGTTCGTTGTTCGTATGTTATTATCATTATGGTTATTTAGTTCTCGTGGTCGAGAAACAGTAGTCGAAAGTAGCCATAGGTATTATTGATAAAAAACTTTATTTCTTTCAAAGTGTTTAAACTGATATTTCTTCAGCACAGCTGCAAATGTGATAATACAAAATATATTTTACAGATACCGAGGTAACCATCAACCATTTTCTAGTGTCATAATTATTAATTTCAATTTTCTCAGTCTCTTTTGCGAGGTCCGATTTCTGTGTTTAAATTTTCGTTTTCAATTTTAATTGAAGATGGCATCTAAACGCATAGCTCAATCTTCTGTAAACTGGGCAGCAATTGCTGAACGAGTACCTGAAGCAGACAAAGCGTCTTACTTAGCGTTCAAAGCCAAGTCCGATGGATATCTTCGCAAGTATGTTGAGGTCATTTAAAGGCCACACGCCCGGTGTTAAAACAATTTTTATTTACTTTAATATTTGCAAAACTATTTTATGCACGGTTTTTATTTGTTTTATAAATGCTTTCAGAATGTTGGCTGCTCCAGCCGAACCACTGAAAATCGATTGGGCGGCATATAAAAATAAAATAGCTGTACCTGGATTGGTCGACAATTTTGAGAAATTGTACAGTGCAATTAAAATTCCATACCCTGAGGACAAGTACACTCCAGCTATTGATAAACACGAAAAGGAAATTGTAATTAATTTTTTCTGTTCCTTACACTATTTACAATAATAGCACAACTTAATATTTGTTAAATGTATCGTTTTTAATTATTAGATCAAAGGTATTGAAGCATTCAAAGCCGAATCAGAAGTGATAATCAAAGAAGCTGAAAAGAGGATCGCAGAAATCAACAGTTTGCTGCCATTCGGTCAAATGACCTTTGAAGATGCTGCTTATATTCAACCGGAATTGACATTGGATTTGGAAAACAAACCATCATTCTGGCCGCATCAAGAGATTGATTACATTAACGACGAACCAGAAGGAGAAACTCCACAAATTGAAGAACAGAAAAAAATTGATGCAGCTCATTAAATAAAGAAAAAATGATTCATAGTTTTCAGTTCTAATTTTAATTCATGGTTTTTTCCATAAACACATAGAAACATATTTATATAGGTACCTATGTACATTTATGGTTAAAATTTTAGATTTTTTTTTCATGTTTTATTCAAAATTCTGTTAAACATTTATTTTGTAAGTACAAAAGTTCAATAACATTGCTTCGTACTGTATAACACTGTTAAATAAATGATAAAAAAAACATAATTTCCAATTATTACTTTATTTTTTATTCTACTGATTAAAAACAGGTAGAGTTATGGTTGATATTGATTAATAATTAAAATCTAGTATTGCATCTTGATATTCCTAATAATGCTTAAGGCAATAAATATAAATACTGGTATTAATAATATTTGCCACCTCAAACATCATATTCTAAAATATTTTATAATGGGATAATACAATATTATGAGTTACAGTTTTGGATACAATTTATCTTGTTATAATATTAGCTATTAAATAGTTAATATTAGTCATAATGATAACAATTAACTACTAAGTACTAACTGCCGCCAGTTTGGACGGAACATTTATTATTAATTTTAAATCTCCAACAACATTTAAAAGCCAAGAATAATTAGCCTAAATAACATTATATTATTCTAAAGCAGATTTAGGAAAATATAAATCAAAGGATACATCCCTATTCCTTAATAATGTGCAGTGCAATACTCTTGGTAAAATTTAAAAAAACGACGAATGGGTAATTAAAACTGAAATTGCGTATCAGGAATATCAACTTATAGTACTTTTATGTAATATATTAGTTATTTCCAATTTTTTGTACAAATTATATAAATGTATCAAAATGATTTGATATGTTTTTGTTATAGAATCAATAAGTAGTAATATTTGTAAACAGATAACAACTACAGATTTGATATACAGAATTATCTATATCAATAGTATTTTTTTAAAACATTTTAGTTTAAATGTGGATAAAATTAGATATTTAATATATAAAGAATAACATTTTTAGTTATATTGATGTAATTTAAAAATATTCGTAGGTACTTGAAACTTTTAAGGTATATATTTATTGTATATTATATATATTGTATTTCATACATACATAACATTTTCTAATGCAATGTTTTCGGAAAACAAATAATTCAATTCTAACAGTAAAATAAATTATTTTAATAGCAATAATATAAAATATAATTAATAATGTAGGCTGAAATACTTTTCTCAGAATCGTTTTTTTTGTATACAATGATTATATATCATGGAATTTAATTAACACATCCATTACCACAGATATAAATCTTTTCTGTGTCCGTTACAGTGACTAGTGACCTACTCGACCTATTGTACAGCAGAAGTCAGAACCACTTGTCAACATTTTTTTTTTAACTTTAAAAAGCATATATTTTGTTTAGCACGGATAGGACTCAGAGAAAATCTTAATTCTATTCTAAACAATCCAATTATATAGAATCTCAAATAGTTAATTTAATATATTTTATTATATTATGTATTATACCGGTTATATACATTTTAGATATTCCTAAAACAGCAAATACCTACGACTATATTTTTTATATATTAATCTACTCTGACGATACAGCTATGCGAACCTCCAACTGACTCCACATTCAAATTTCTACCGATCTCTAAAATCATGTTGACTTAATAAATAACTGCGAAACTAGGTGGAGAATTCTAATAAATCTTTAAATTATACCTTAAGTCCAAACACAAAATACTTAACAGGGGGATGAGGTGGCCGAGCGGTCGAACACGTCGTCTGCGGCGCTGGCGGTCATGGGTTCGATTCTCTCGATCACTGGGCGGCATTTTTCTCCGGGCAAGTCACGGTGTCCGGAGAACAAGTGCCGCCATCCCCCACTCCAGGGCATGGCAGAAACCTACGGGTGCCCCAATAGAAATTCTGCCAAACACAACACACACGTGTAATAACCCTACAATTTCAAACCCTACTACCTACAATCAAGCTAATGGCCATAGTCGCCGGGCTTTAAAAAAAGGATCAATTAAAAAAAAAATACTTAACAACCACCTTCAGCTGCTTCGTCCTATAATTAGATCAAACTATCAATTCACACAAAATCCGTACTTTACAAATCTTTAGGTACTGATGCCTATCAGGACTCGCTATGCAAACCTAGGGGTGTGCTTTGTGTGTAAACCAAGATGACTCTTTACATATAGACTTTAAAATTATACTGTATTACTGTTAAGTAAATGTACTTCAGTAGGTTTTACAGAAAACACCAACACCAACAAAATCTTCTCATCGATCGTCATATGTACCTATTCTTCCTGATAAGTGATATAATCCTCCTTGTCGATACAAAATGCACCGATGCAGATCTAAATTAAATATTTAAATGGTATGATAAAATAAACAAAGTCTGTCCCGAAGAGTTCTATCAATGGATGGCTATTGGCTACCCTTGTCATGACCGTCGTGTGTTTTTTTTTACACGTTCTTTATTATTATTATGTACATTATCCAATTTACTTATTGTGTTTGAACTTTGGAACACAGATAGACATTAATTTTCCAGTAATAATAGAAAAAATGTTATTCATTGATTTTAGTTAAAATTTTTTTTAAAAAACGATGGATATGTCATATGTATGTATATAATATTGTATGTAGGACATGGAATATACATATGGATACTATTATATATATCAATATAGGTATATTATATAGGCGGATATTAATATGGAAACACCTACGCTGCTTCACACTATATTACATTGTACGCACCGTGATAATATCGGTGTAATATTATATATTATATATAAAATACAGCCATATAGGTATAGAGTATCCCGTAGTGTTAGGTTTATTTTTTAAGTAACATTGCGGTATAAGGTATATAGTAGGTAAGGTAATATAGTATGGCAACTCGATTAATTCATCACCAAAAAATAACGATGTACGCCACGGGACGTCACTTAGTGTAGGTGTGACACCTAAGGTGTCTAGGTAAGTACCTACTGCCGTGCCTACACATATTTGTACATGCAATTTACTTATAATTTATATCATATTTGTATAGGTACTTTATAACCATTTTTTTTTGTTTTATCACCATTTTTATGAGATTAATATAAATATGCATAAGGCTACCGACATATTTTGTTGCACTACAAATTGACTAAAATCGCTAGTAGGTACTATAAAAATACTTTAAATATTGCACTGTCAAAAGAGTCGTTAAGAAATTAGTATTTTCGGTCATCAATTTCAGATGTAAATAAAATAAATACCTAATATATTTCTTATAATTCATCATCTACCTACAGGCATGGCGCTAGAATTTTTTCCAGGGTGTGGGCAAAGTTTAGCAAATATTTTTTTTACATGGGCTAAGGTTTTTTCAACAAACACTGAGCTTAATAAATCAAATATAAATATTTTCGTATCATTTAACATAATATAGCTATGAGCTATATAGTACGCAAGTTTTTATATTGTACGCTCTAAATGTCTAAACAGATAAATAGATAATATCTACAAACTTTTGAATAATTAAAAATGTTTTAAGAATAATGTCGAATATTTTTTATGTACCTTATGTAAGAAAATGTTTAATCGCAGATCTTCAACAACTATATTCATAATGAATTAATGAATAATGATGTACAAAAATGATAATTTCTTTATGACTTTAACATTACATATACCTTTGTGAATGAACAATTATGTTTCTTTTACTTATACTTACATTTCATAAGTATAAACTAAAGTAATTGTGTTTAGTAATGAAAGTATACGAAAGTATTTCCATAAATTAAAAATCTTTAAAATGTATATTTCATAAATTGTTTGATGTAGCTCTTTTAACTTTTAAGAATAATGTTTTATGGCTTTATTATATCGTACATATTTGTCAGTGGTGGGGCTGGCGAGGGGGTTGAACCGTTCTCTGGGGGGCTAGAGTCCCACCTCCCCCCCCTCTTGGCGCCGTGCCTGTCTACCTATACAATATGTAAAAATGTACAACAACTATACATGCATACAAATTGCATTCAAAATAAAAATTTAAAAACTGTACTAAACACTTTTCAATTTAAACTTCTGTACTTTCCATAAAATTAATTTTTAACTTATATATAGATCACTAAATCACAATGTGGAAATAAAAGTTGCAAATGCTATACAATTCAACCCATACTTACATAGTTATATATAGACATCAAAGCTAATTAATTCGCAGAAGGAATAGAGTATAGTAATAGATATATTATACAACAAATTAAAACGAATGTTTATTCAACTTTATTAATTTATTCAAACCATTTCACAGTATTTATTAAATCAACATCATAGGTAATGTATATTATGATACCATATTGATACTGTAGGAAATATAAACGAACGTATATTATATTATAATATTATAAATTATTAATCATGAAAATGTAATATGCATATAGTAGCTAGGTATATATTATAATATAAAATTACTATTATTATTGTTGTTATTTTTGATTTTTGCAACACGAGAATAATTTAATAATAGGTTTTTTTTAAATAAACACTACAGGTATATGGTCAATAAATAACTACAGTTATATAATATATTAGAATCGAAATAAATAGTTGAATATTAAAAAGCATTGTTTATTATTATTAATTTAAGGGCTAATATGCTGCCGTAAATGATATATAATGACTTGACCTTATATATGTGGCCAATGCGCTCACACGCAATACTTAACCGAAGCACGACACCGCGTTGAAAGCGCATTGCTTCCAATAACTTCTCTTCTTCTGTGCGCGAAACGAATCCGTCCGGGCGCGGATTCTGTTCATCATTTGTTTGGCAAACAGGTAGTCGATCAGCGCAATCTCGAGGTTTTGGTCCTCGCTCTGTAACACATGCTCGATATTACAATGTCGTGTCTCGATATAGGTTTTTATAATATATTATAACCATCAATCTACATGACCACCACGGGATATAATATTAATAAATAATAAATAATAATTTATTGTATTTTGTATAAAACAATGCTAAATCTACCTACCTATATAATTACATGCCATCATCAAATAAACTTATTCTGTTCAGCCTGAGTAATAAAGTATTTAAAAAAAAAACATATATATTTTTGTACGTGTTCTCTGCGGACGTATTTAGAAACAGAATATAGAATTTGACGTGTACCTACATAGTATGATATTATTATTTTGTTATTTTTTTTTATAAATATATTTTATTTGTATTATCTGTCGACGACGGCGAGTTCTAGATTCAACTTTTTAGGCTTTAGCACATATATTACATATTTTTATTGTATATTATATTTATATTTAGGTTCACAGGAACGGTTTAGTTCATACACGCAAATACAGTATAATATTATTGTAACACCTTTAAAGGAAAATGTAGGTACAGCGCTACATAATATATTATTACATTATTGTCGACAACTTTTCTTTGTCGAGATATAGTTAGGAGAGATTTACACATTTTGCCATCTGCATACATTGAGACTCGAGAGAGAGATATATATTGAATAGAATTATATGCAATTACCTATAGCAGTGAAGACAATTTAAGTACATTTGCAACAGCAGACCCTAGCAGAAAATTATCATTGTTAGGTACCTATATTAAATTATTTTATACAGATAATATCAATTGCCTAGGTACTTTGTTTTTAAATTTTTTTTTTATTATGTCTGTTTTACAGCTAATTAATAGTTTTTTATGGATATCAAGTGTATAAACTACAAAGCCCCTGATTGCATTCATTTTTATTGAGACTTAATTCCCATCCCCAGAATTATGAGCCAAGTTACCGCAATGTATTTGAATCTCGTGGACACTAATTTTACATTCTTACCTACATGAATGTGAAATTATTTTTTTCTTGTACATATAAGTTATTTTTCTTAATATTTATGTATTTTGTAAACAGCTAGTTTACTGAGAAGAAAAATGTAATCATTTAATTATCATACTCGATACTCCTATACCTATTTAAACAGTTAAGAGCACGCTGGATCTGGAAACTATAGTAGGTATAGTCATTGTTATGTAATTTAAATAAATGTTCGACCATGGCAAATTAATCATTTTTTTAATAAATATTATTATAAAAAAACTATCAAACTTAAGACCATAGTACCTATAGGTACTGATCAGTTCAATAAACTGCTTGTGTAAATAGCATCCGTAAGGCTTAAGCCATTGTTTAAAAATTAAACTTTCAACTTGCTTCAACGATTATTATTTTTAAAATAAGGTATAGGCGCTTATTACAACACCAAAACAAAATCGATTAAATAATTAAAAAATGTTCATTGAAAGCCGCGGTGTTGCTTAAATAATCTGTTAGTTAACTAAAAGTATTGAACATTTCCAATTATTAACATCAAATTACAAACTAGATCAAAAATACTACCAAAAACTATACACTATTATACTAACAATGGGGATTGAAATTCTCTGCTCCAAAACGTGATGTCGGACATAAACAAGCAATAATCTCACATAATTGTAAAAATAATACATTATTTTTCCATTATCACGATATAGCCTTGTACAATAGGTACTGATTTTGTCAAATTGACCAATTAAAAAAATTATAATTTAAATATTTTTATATTTTTTTAATAATAATGAAATAATAACATATGGATTATCGGGAGGAGCAAGAACCTACAATTTTTTTAAATTTAAATAACTACAAATTGTAGAATGTTAACCCCTCCAATAATTTGGACTCGATTTCCATCTATGTTTCATTATGACCTTTTTGATTTTATTATATAATATTATTCTAGAATAATGTAATTGACATTATCCCGACATCCTTTAATCTATTCAACACACTCTTAAATTGCTCATGAATTACAGACAACTAATGTTTAGAAACAAAAACCGAGTTAAGCCGACTTCAAAGGATAAAAAATAATAATAGTGTAATAATTATAGGCCGAGTAAAAACAATTATTTCTTTGAATTCTGAAAGGAACGGACTTCATTTTCACAGGAACAATATAATTTCATCATTGTAATATGATATATAGCCGATATAGGTAATTATATTCGTATAGATATACAAGCTTTAGAGTGATATTTATTGGAACCAATTTTATAGAAAACATGATAGAAAAAGGGCACATAAATGTAATAAATTATAAACCTACATAAAATATAAAAACTAATGATATCTAATTTTAGTTAGGAATTAATTGTGATGAAGTTTGTTGGGTTAGGTAGTGACGTAGATATAGTGTACGAGCAGAAGACGTTAAATGTATAGAGAATATTCATCATCCATTCTTATATTTTTAATTAAAAAAATTGTTTTCATTTATTTTTAATTAGAAAAAAAAGTATAGAAAAAAATCTTGTAGAAGTGTATCTATGTGGGACATCATGGACAGAGAATCTGCAGTGGACGGACGTTATATTGTATTGTACCTATATTTGTATAGTGAAAGGTGTCCTGCAAGGCCTAAGTATTGATCTGATGATAAGTCTAAAGTTAGATTAAATGATGTATACAAATAATATATATTTATGATGTAAATAAGTATAATGTAACAGATGACGAGGAAGATAAGATGGAAATCTACAAGTCTTTATGAAATTCTTATTTATACAGTCAAACGTCATACTTATACGGTAGACGTTGCGTACATATGGCATACAACATTTTTAATTAAAAAAAAAAAAGTATAGTTAAGGAATGTTTATGTTATTTTTTCGAACTCGAAATAGGTTCTGCATATCAAAATGTCTAAGTAAAAACTTCTCAAGTCAGGGTCATTAAACTTTGAACCTATATAATATTATGTAACAAAAAAAGCAAAAAAGCTATACAGGTAGGTAGGTATCTAATATCTATAACAGCTATTACCATTACCTAATGTGCAAACATATCTTATTCGTCACCGTATAAACATAATGGGTTACCTACATATATGAATTTAAATTTGTGTATCTACCTAGGTATATTATTCACAAATGAGTTGTTTCTGCGTTTTAAGACATGGGTACTGTTATGTTAATATTGTATATACCTAATAATTGATATTTCCACTATCCAGTCGTACATAATAAACTTGTACCGATTTTCACATAATTGTATACACTATTCATTAAAATATTTTACACAACAATAATATCACAATATCACATATTATAAAGTCCATTCCAGTGCACAATAAACATATTATGTTTACTGTACTTTTGTTGTTTTGTCAAAGGTTTTTAAGTGCAAGCTATATAATATATAATACGAGTAACCTATACCAATTATTTTGAGCGTTAATTTGGAACATTTATCTATATTGGCCCCTTAATTATTATGAAAAACTGTTCACAAATATTCCGCCATACCTAAAATAGTCGACGAAATATAATACGTGTGCCTATCGGGTTCATGATATTATAACGTATAGCCAAAGGATAAATTATACTTCTGTATGTAGGTACACCTACATAATATTATGCCTATGCATAACACTTTTGGAGCACAAATATTAATATTCTAATGGTTTTTTTTATTATTATTTTTTGATATTTGATCCCTTTTATTTTAATGAAAAGTTAATATATTGCTTTACGTAGGTAAATATTGCTATACATATTTCCATACATAAATTAGTCATATTCCTACTAAACGTATTGTTTTTCATTTACACAGGATTATTTTCATGTTAATTGATAATTATGATTATATTATTTTATTATTTACAAATTCTTAGATTACTGCAATATTCAAATTTCTCACGTTATCAAAAAGAGCGACATAAAAAATAACGATTTTTCTGTTATTTCTTACGTAAATCAGATTTTTAATTAATGTCTGTCTGTGTCTGTAGTAATATTGAATATCGATATATTTGTGATAAATTGATTGAAATCGTTAGTCCATTACGCTGCATTTTAAATTATGTAGGTATTTAAAATATAGTACCTACCTAACACTAAAGATCGTAACGGGTTTTGTGAACTTTTTAATATCCTGTTAAAAGTTAATAAGGTGATATTAAACGATGCACAATTATTCATCAAATTAAAAACCTTAGTTTTTATGGTAAAATCATCGATAGCTGGTTCTTCAATGTCGCGGAAAACATCCTTGTCGCTCATTGACATTATTTCAGGAGAGTTTTCTCCAAGTTCTCTTTGCAGTACTCTCTGATCTATGACGTTTCCTGTAGTTAGTATTGGCAATAACACAGTCAAGACCGTAAGTGTCAAAATTATTCCATACGATAGGAATCCCATCTGTGTGGCCATTTTAAATATTCCTGAAAACCATTTTATGATTACTGATTAGTTAGAAAATGTTTAATGTAAAATCAATATCTACGTACAGTCAATTTGACCTTATAATGAAACATTACACAGTCAAATTGAATAACTATTAAATAATAAATATTAATTATATTTATTTCTAATGCGTAGGTAGTAAAAAAAAGTAGTAGGTACTATATGTAGTAAATCACACAGAAATACATGTAAACAATTTGTTAGACATGGTTTGAGTGAGTATAAGTTTCTACTCAAGTCGTACCTACCACTTTAAGAAAAATAATTACAATTCAAATTTTTATTAATTTGCAAAATGTTACTTTTAATCTTAATAAAGGTGTGTATTATTTCTAATAATAATAAAAAAAAACCGGGAAACGGGAGTGGCCGAGCGGATTAAGGGTCGGTTGCGACGTACACCGGCGCCGGTTCGATGACGGCCGCGGGCGGCATTTTTCTTCGGTCAAGTCACGGTGTCCGGAGAGAAGTGCCGCCATCCCCCACCCGGGTATGGCAGATACCTACAACAGGCGCCCACTAAAAAATCTGCCAAACCAAAACACACGTGTTTAAACTTACAATACACTCCCCCACAGTAAAAACCACCCAATGGCCTAAGTTGCCGAGGGTTAATCAATAAATCTTAAATTATTTGTATAATTGTATCCCTAACCAAACAGCATTACCTACTATACCCACGTCCCACGTATGTAACAAATGTTTAGCTACCTACCACTAACTAGTTTCTGTAACTTAAAGTCCGATGTAATATCTTAGATCACCCTTTCATCATTAATTTAACTTTCAAGTACACACAATTACATGTTTTGATACACTGAAAATAATCAAAATATTCAATAGTATTCAAATAGTAGGTAATATAAGTTATAAACTTATAACAATATTGTACAACTAATAAATTATAGCATAATTTTTTAAATCATAATAAATTAAATAGAAAAAACAATATTGATTCGTATTAATTTTAATATTTAACACTAAATTAGATTAATTAATTATTTAATTATATTTTTTTTAAATAATTGTTATTATTCTGCTATAGCAACAATGACATCGTGAGTTGTAATGAAAGTTCAGCTGCAGTTAAGTTTGGTTTTTAAATATAAACACGTCCAATATCATTCTAAATAATTAAAAGAAACGTTCGTTGTATTTTAAACTGTAAACACACGACACGAGCGATTAGCGAATATCAATACAGCTCGAGAGTTGAGAATAATAATTTGCATTAATCTCTATTCCAAAACACCGAGGGTAGGATACCTATATAATGTAATACACACACTAAAACAAGTAATTCTCAATAACATTACCGAGTTCATTAAATCCATTTTTTTTTCAACTTGCATATTAAATATTTAATTTCCTTACATGCTTACGCATACGTAATTAAAGAGTATTAATCTCTACATAGTAGAAAAATAAACGGTTGAGGGATTCGACCTTTGTCCATTAATTAAATATTCGTATCCATACGACGTGCCGGGGAAAACGAATACGAAATATATTTGAGATTTCCCTAAATCTAGATTAAAATATTAACTGCAAATTTTATAAAACATCCTTTTAATTTTTGAACAGTTCTCGTTGTCACATTGCATATATTACATTGTAATCCCTTGTACGCCAAAGGCATACATTAATGGGATTACCGATATTCCTGTATGGCAAACATATTCTTTAATACCAATTTGAACGTCACTTTTAATAATAATTATTACAATTTTGTAATAGCATCCTCCATTAAATACGTATGCTTTTTTGGATTCCTGGTAGAAATAATGAAGCTATATATATATATAAGTGTTGGTGTTTTAATGATGTTTTTTTCCTCCGACTGAAATTCGTTTCGCTGTTAACAGGTTAACCGCTATAGCAACATATACCTCCCTGCCATACACGCCACGGCGCCGCGCCATTAAAATTATTAAAAAAAAAATTAAAAGGGTTCTAGCTCAAGACCAGAATCATAATTCTAAATTATCGAGTTTTTAATATTCCGCTGTGCAGTTTATATAATTAAGAAAATCCTCACCATAGCGGCCACATGGAATAATACTCTAAACTCAAATCGTATTTATGTGTAAATGATAATATATACATTTAAAAAAAAATCTTCCATGTAAGTAAACTTTTTAATTTTTATGGTCCGATTGGTTCGTATAAAAACAATAACTAACACCAATAACCAACACCCGTAATAAACACTTTATAATCTGTGCTCCGTAGTATCGCCTAAATAATGATCAAAAAAGCTGCAGCGAACATAAATAACATCTTCTATTATCTATGGCAGTGAACTGTTGATAAACTGATAAAAAGTACTCTGAGAAATTCGTATGGCTGATCAATTGTTTCAAACGATGAAAAGTTATAAAATATAAACACCTATCAAAAGTTTTGATGAAAATAATTGAGTGTGTAAAAAATATCGATTTGTTTGATAAAATAAAATTACAACTGTCGACATCTTTTACTTTTACTATACCTACATTTTGTGAATTGGTCACAACTTTTTACTAGGTATATAAAATTATATACCATGCATCCATGCATTATATTTTATTAAATGATTAGTTGATCGATTTCACTGTGTTGCTTAGTGTTATAATCTATTTATATGTCAAAACAGTCATTACTTATTTCTACTACCTATGTTTTAGTTTGCAGTTGTGTACCAATAGCATATAGCTTTCTAGTTATTTCTACAAAAATTAAAGTCAACAATACAAATAAATACTGTCTATTATTTTAAAAGTTGATTCTATTAATTAAAAATAAATTGTAAATTGTAATATTAATTATTCTAGAATTTAAATCATTATTGCAGACTTATTTTATAAAATAAAATTACGTGTTGCTTTGAAATTAATGACATAGTAAAGTTTAGTTGTTAATTTATTTCATTTTAATCGTAAATTCCAAAAAACTAATCATTAATTAACTTGAGTCACATTTAATATTTATTTAATTTGTATATCCTTAATTTTTTTTAAACAAAAATGTTAGTATTTTATTGAAGTCAATACTAAGAATAGTGTATAAAGGCTATAGGACCTATAAAGTTGATGAAGTTATATCAAGTGTAAAACTTTAAAAGATTATAATTGTCTTTGCTGAAATATTAGAGCAATTTAAAATTTAAATGACTTTTTGTAAAGTATTAATAATATGAATATAGTTACTCTTGTAAAAATGTTACTAAATGTACAGGGTGATTCACCAGGAAAGCACACTTAAACTTTTTTCTTTAACAACGCATGTATTCAAATTCTGATTTTTAAAAAAAATGTTGTACAGTTAGACGATATTTTCAAATATTTATATTTTTTATGCCAATAAGCAATGTCCTGCTGTGACAATTCAAATATTGTATATTTCATATGATGATCACCTTTTTTACTGTAAATTATTAAGTAGTTTATTTTTTTGAAAATGTTAATGTATATAAATCAAAATTTAATGAAATATTTAACTTAATTTACTAAGGATAAGAGAGTTCATGATAATAAGCTTGATTATATAAAGGCTACGATGATTTTAAAATTATAGTAAATAATAATATATTAGCATTTTATAAAGGCATAGTTTGTAAAAATGTTCTGACAAAATATTACATATATTTTATATTGAATTTAAAATCAATATTATTATTTTAATAGGTAGGTAGGTATAGTGGGTACATAGTACGTATACAATTTAATAACTTATTACTTAGAAACTATTCGTTCAGATTTCGAATTTATATGCAAAAAAAAAAACATTAACTTTATTAACCATTTACAATTACAAAAGGTGATTCTCATTTATCAATACAAGTTTGTACCACTGCAGAAAATTCTATAAAATGGTATAAAATCTCATTGCATAATATTCAAAATATTGTCTTTAATTATGGGTAATAAAAAAATTCCAAAACACAGAATTTAAATAACTGCATCATTAAAGGATAAAAGATGGATGAGCATGCTTGGGAAATCACAACGTAGATTATATATTGAAATAAAATATAAGATTGTTTATTCAATTTGTTTGTTTAAAAAAAAATAAAAGATTAAAAATGTAAAGGATTAAACGAACATTAGGGTTCCAAATGATTAAATTAATACATGCCAATCACTTATATCACTATTTTGTATCATTTAAAATGTACTGTATGAATTCGGAATTGTAATAAATGATTTAAAAGAAAGATTAATATTAAATGCATTCTTTTAGCAAAAGGTGATATGCTGAAATATAATGTCTTATCATTTAACTTAGTCATTATTTAAATATGAACTAAAATAAGAGTACCAGGTACCTTATTAAATTTGCAAGATTTCAAAAACACAAAAACACTCAATGAATTCTATTTTTATATAAAATTGAAGAACTGTAGTCCATCGTCCCACCTTTTTAAAAATGGATTAATAATCTTTAATATTATAAGAAAATGTATCGGCAAGCATAATAGCTGTAATATATATAATATAATATAAGATGTTATTTTGAATACAACGATATGTAGCAACATTTATAAAATACATTAAGAAAATGTAAGCATTGAGGTATAAATTATGATAAAAACAAAATGGTAGTTAAATCATGGTCCATTTTATACTATTATATATTATTATTATCTATTCTTATAATATTGCTAAATTGATTCATATGAATTTAAAAATATATTATTGAAAATGTACTAAAGTAATTAAAAAAATTAATTCATTTGACATTGTAATTTTATTGTATATATTATTAAAGTTAATTTAGGATTAGCAGAAATCTCGTTAGAAGTTCGTTTTTGTCTGTTTTTATAAATGTCACTTGCCAATATAAGATTCCCCTACTCTATTATATGAACATTCATTGTAGTATTCAACGTAGGCAATAATGAAACCAACCTTAAAAGAATAAGACATAGATTTAGATTTAATAATGTTAGAGTACTAAGGGGATGCTATTCATTGTTGTTTTGGTTC